ACACACACACACACACACACACACACACACACACACACACACACACAGGCTTAGTAAAGCGTGAGACACACATCATGGCAGAGAGAAGGAAAAGATCCAAAGTGTGTAAATGATAATGATATACGTTTTGAGGACCGGCATTTTGTCCCCATTTTGTTCCTAAAAAGGGAGGCGAGTCCCCACATTATGTGCAATCAGATTGATGTCCCCATAAGATGGGTAAAACACTCTCACATACACACATGAAGCAGAGGACAAGCCCCTAGAGCTCCGAACAGAGCCCAGCTGAGTACATCTGATATGTGGGTGCAACACTCTTGAATCTAGGCTACTGCACTGCAGTAAAGGCAAAAAGGAACAAGCACATCAAATCAGAGAGAGCCTGAAGTTGGTAGAAGGGCAACGATTACCCACCATGCTCCGTCTCTCCTCCCTTCCGTCTCTCTTTCTCTCTGAGCAGCAAGTGAATCACTGAAACTGTCACCTCTCTTCACCTTCCCAGCACAGCTCAACATGTGACTAAGCATCACTTCCTCCCTGCTTGGGAAGCTGCACGGTGGATGATGCAGAGTTGTGTGTCAACCAGAGCATGAAATTGCTTTACTTAACTTGGGGAGAATCTGTGTCCAAGCAATACCTCCAGAAAACCACAGTCCACCTTGTTGTTTATAAATTAAAACATGCTACGTCTTACACGGCCTCAAAGTAGACCTTTTGTCAATGTGGTGTAACAATTGTTTCTTTCTCTCTTAAAGAATCAATTTCAAATGCAAGCGGGTGGGCTTCTCACCTCTGTTGTTTCACTTGTTGCTTTCTTTTGGGAAAAGGGAAAGCAAGGGGGATGATAATGTAGGCGACACAAAGCTGTGTGGGGATTGAAAAGATTTCAGAAGCGTGGGTCTGCGCCTCTAGACTATCTCTGGGCACTAACACCTGTTTGTTGTCTGAACAGTAAGCTGAGTAGATTCAATATAGACCTCGGCGATTTGACAAAAGAGATGTCACAGCGTCAGCACTGTAACCCCGCCAGCTGCGACATACTTTTTAGGATTAGTTCAGGCTTACCTGCGGCTGCACTGTACACTTCCAGCAACTCTCATTCCTGCCAACTCACCTCCTCTAAGCACCAGCACGTTGACCTCGCTGCCCACAGGGAGGTCTTTGAGGATGTCCACCACCTGGGAGTGGCTCATCGTCTGGACATTCTGTCTGTTGATCTCCTTGATAACGTCGCCCTTCAGCAGGCCCCGGCACCACTGGGCGTCCAGGATCATCTTCACCTTTTGGCCCAGGGGGCAATCTGCGATGGCAAAGCCGAACCCCCCCGGGCCTTTCACCAAGGGCACGCTCACCAGCTCTGGCTGTAAGAAAGTAGGGTCAGGGCCTTCTTGGTTGGGGACGTGAGGAAGGTGTTGGTGGAGATGGTGGTGGTGGTGGCGTCCACCATTGGTCATGTGTGGTACTGCAGCAGTCTGCCTGGAGAGGGTTCCTCCATCTAGGACTGTATGGTGGGGGTCCTGTGGTGTGGAGGTTGAGGGGGAAGGGGAAGTGTCCTTGGAGAGGCCTCCTGAAGCCTCCTCACTGCTGCTGGAGTCCTCAGGCAGAGGGTAGCCCCGGCAAAGGACCATGTCCACATACTGGTTGATAGGGATGGACTGAAACATCTGCACCACATCAGCGTGAGTCTTCCCCAGCACACATGCCCCGTTGATGTCCACGATCACGTCACCTGCAAGAACAGAGAGCTGTCAGACGTTTGTGAAATAGACACATTTGACAGTGTGGACAGTGATCATCACACAAAAGGCAAACTTGAAGAGGTACAATAAAAGAAGAGACACTAACGTCAATGACAAGTCATCACAATAAATGATATGATAATTATCTAGCTGGATTGCTCAAGTAGAATCTGTAAATGTTTCTTTGTCTGCTCTTCTAACTCTTTAGAAAATTCAAAGATGTTAATGTGAGAGAGAGAGAGCGAGCAAGACTATAAAATAGAACACGGTCACTGACATGCCGTTCTCTTCTTCTACCTTTTGCCTGTAAGGGGGGAGACTCTCCTCACCCCTGGCCTGGCTGAGATATAGGCCTGGCTGGGCAGCTGAATTGCTTACTGGCTAGCTGGCTGAAAGCCCAGTGGAGGATTCAGCCCACCTACACAATCAATAACACAGCTAAGGTTTCACTCGGAAATGAGCTCCATGTCCCAATGTAGTGCCTGTTCAGAACCCATTACACGTATCTCCAATGACTTATCTAATAACTAACCATCCTCAAAACAATAACAGTGCTGTAGGTAAAACATAGTCTCAGACCCTTGAATTATACCCTTGGGATGAATTAACGCTCCAGGCCTGGAGTCAGAACGTCTTAAATCCAGAAGAATGTTACATAAAGTTAGTTCAGCGCTTCCTGTTATTACCCAATGAAATTAACTACATTTTAATTTTTTTGGTTAAATCAATTACCTTCCTTCTCAAGGGCAATGAAACATTGGAAATAATCTCTCTCACTGTTCTACTTTCATGTTCATTCTCAGCAGCAGCACTGGTGTGGCTGTAGGAGCTTTCAATGCAATCAATATTATTGTAATGTGAATCCTGCAGCAAGCGCTTCGCTGACAGTATTTCAAATTACTACAATCACCATGTGATAGCAGTATTTATATACACACAATAAAAGGGGATTTACTGAGCTAAGTAGCACTAGTGAGATTATAGAAAGCACACCAGCAAAGCTACATGTAGCATACATGTCAGTGTTGCAGATTACTGCATTAGAACATTATGCAGATAAGCAGGCTTTGTCACCCACCAGCCTTTGCGGGCCTATTAAATCGGTTATATACGGCTGCATATAAAATCTGGTTGTTAACCATAAACTGAACATGTGCTGTATTGACGGAAATGTCCTGTTTTTAGAGCTGCACCACTGAACACTATAAACTTTTGCTTGATCAAGCAATGTGACATTCAGGGTAAAGAGACAGTTTGGTGCTTTTTTTCTCGAAATGTGTTTGTTTGTGTGTACTCGGGATACATAAAACTGTATTATGAACAGTACGTATGCCAATACCAAGTCGAGTGTCTCTGCGTATACTGGCATTCATGCCATGCAAACATACGTGCGAATGTGACGCTGGATTGTGTTTAGACAAGTAATAAAATGCCTATTTGTCTTCCCTTAACTCGGAAGACAAGTCGGCATGTAGAATTGCGTCAAACTGCTAAGCCAAAGTGCAGTCGAGGTACTGGAGTGCTCCTTTATAAACAGTAGGCCTGTGGGGGAAGCCTACCTGAGGCGATCTTGTTGTCATGCGCGGCAGGCCCATCGGCAAGGACGTTTTTGACCTGAAGGAATTCGTCGGGTCGGTCTCCTCCGATAATGGTGAACCCAAAGCCCTGGGGGCTTTTTCTAAGTGCAGCCTGCAGGATGGAACCCTGCAGCTGAGATGGATCTCGTGTGAAGACCCGCGCTGCCCTGCCAGGCTCCTCTGCTGTAGGGAGGACGGTGGGAAAAGAGGAGAGAGATTGACAAGAGGTAATGGACAGGGGGAAATGGAGAAAAATATCTTTAATGCCCAAATTCCTGTAATCACTATATATTAAATTGCTTCTGTTGCTTCCATTTGAACACATTACACAGCAGCATTAGTTTGATAGAAGGGAGCAGCACATCTTTGAAGCTCACAGGTTTACCTGCTGTGACCGTCTATGTGAAAATGAGCTTGGGATATGAAGAGAAACTGAAAAACTTTCTCACAAATTGCCGCGCCTCTCCATCTTAACAACGTTCGCACAGTGACGTGTCTGACAGCACGTCAGTCACTGCCAGTAATTACACAAAGACTCCGAGAGCATCGGAATTTAACTGCAAACTCAAACAAATCGCACATACACAAAAACTTGCGAGTCTCCTGCTCTGTTTGTGACGCTAATAAACATCCAGTTATTGCAAAATGTCTACATATTGTGCCCCAGTCTCACCGCAAACAACCGTTTCTTTTCACGCCAGTGATAAATTAATCCTGAAGCGCGCCTGCCATTTTCCATGTAAACTTTTCATTGCAAATTTCCTTTGTGGTGCCTGCAGGATGAGTAAACGGGGTAACTTTTTAGAAGAGAGGATAGGAATTATAATAGACTGTGTGTGTGTGTGTGTGTGTGAGAGAGAGAAAGAGAGCGAGATAAGAGCAATGAGACAGAGAGAAACAGAGTTAGCCTTGACAGAAAGAGGGAAATTCTAACTAAATCCTAGCTCGCTCTTCCCTGTGCTGTGGGCCTATGAGATAGTGAGTTATGTGCTGTGTCCCAGCATGCTGGGCTTCCTCTCTGGCAGTTCCCACACTGATAGATGATGGAACATCAATCTCATTAGGGAGGGTACAGATAGAAGCCCCCCCCCCTCCTCCAACACCACTCTCAATGTGTCATGGGATTGCGATTTGCATAATTGCATTGCAATTGGCAGATGAATGCGACCGCTCTTAATATAAAAAAAATGTGTGCCTCACAGCAGTTTCAGAGATATTTTCAAGATTATATATGAAAGTGAATGTTGTGCAAGCGTATGCATGCACGACATGATATTCCTCATGCGTGTAATATATAGGTTGTGCCATGTTCACACTCATTCTCAACTGACTGTCTGCAGGGTTTCTTACAGGTTCACCATGTAAGAAACCCTGACAGGAGTAAAGAGAGAGCGGGGTGCGGGTTGGGAAGGCAGCTATACGCCAAAGCCATGTTTACATGCTCTTGATTAAGCTGTGGCCCACAAAGGGACAGTCTGTATTCTCGGGGGGGGGGGGGGGGGTGAAGTGATTATATAAAATGTCAGACAGGATTGTCAGCGCTGTAATTATGGCAGAGAACAGTGCTGCGCTTTGCTCCTGTGTGCTCTGTGGCATTGTCTGGGAGGTCAGGCAAGCCAGCCTTGTCAAAACAGTGTTTAGATGCCACCTCACGTACGTCCGCCACACACTTGCACAAGACCACTAGCCATTAATTCTCATTAACAACGGTGGGAAGGTGCAGAATGTGCAGGGGGGGCAGTTGAAGCTGGAGGCGGTGGCACACAGAGGAAATATCATCCACGGACTGCAGAGACCCTCGGCTGTGGGAGGCGGGATTCAGCGCGCAACTGAGTGAGGCAGACAGTTCTGTCCAAGGGGTGTCTGAAATACAGAGGCTAGTTTGAATACTAATGTGGACATGCCTTGTGTGTGCACGCACAGAAGAGCATAACAATTCGTCCTCATGTTACAACAAACACAGGGCCTCTCCGCTTCTCAGAGCTTCACGTTGATGGAGAAGAGGGTCATTTCAACAGTCAAGCAGCATCTTTCACCATAGGTGGTAAATGATGAACAGATACCCAGTAGAAATGCAATTTATGATCATAAGTCACTTTCAACCGCAGTCGCCGCTTTCTCCTTCTCAGTCTCTCTACTCTCCCTCCCGTTCTTTGTTCTTAAGAGATCTTTGAACCGCGGTGAGCGACTGGGGCAAAAGCATTTTCAAAGAGATGTCAGAGCTCTCCCCATTTCATAATCAACTTGTCAAAACGAAATCTGCCGCCCAGTGAAGCGCTGTTCCATTATTCAAATTGAATATCATCGCTTGAGAGGCTATGGGCTGGTTATCGGCAGCATGTCAACGGCTAGAACATCTTTCAGACAGACATCTCAGCATGAAGGAGATCATAAAAGTGCTCCGGTATTTGGATAACACATCTAATACCTTGAAATATTTGGGTTTTTTTCCTCACTAAACAAAAAGCTAGAGCAACTATAAAGGCGTCTCAATAAGGCTTTCTTCATAATGCTGTGTACACCTGTGCTGCATCCCATAACAGCTGGAAGAGCAGGAAAAACTCAGACAAATGTAAAAGTTACTGAGCTAAAGCTAAATGGGCTAACCTGTTGACACCGCTTATCAATATTACCCTTGTCCGATAAAAACACGTACCGCCACCACTTATGTTATTTATTGTATTTTTTTAAACTATTATGTGTCAGACGGTACATGTTGTGAAAGTATTCACATGCATCTTAAAATTAAGCAGAGCTCTGCGGCACAATTAAAAACTAATCTCAGTTGAATAAATCCAAGTTTAACCAAAATTAAATATTGTTATATTATATATATTATTGTTATATTTGTTTGCTTACCCAAATGAATCTAAATGAATAAATACATGTGCGTGCTCTCTGGACCTATAAGTTGGCTGTAAAGGAGTTAACTTCCGGCTGCTTGGTATCCCTTAATAACAGAACGTTACAATGTTTGCTAGCTAGCTCAAAAGTCAGTTAGTTTGCCTACATTACTCATGGCGGCTTGGCAGAGAAGCTCTAGATTCTACTCCTTTGAGAAAAACTTGTTGGCCGACTTAATGGAACAATATGGCCAAATGATAGAAGAAGAATAAACAGACAACAGCACACTAAGGAAAACACTTTTTTTCACCTTGAGGATAAAAGAGACTGCCTTTTGCTTCAATCTTCCTGTTCAACTCCGTAACTGTTTCCTTGCTGAACTGGTGTCTTGAGAGAAACTTAGCAGCAGCATCATACAACTCAATTTGGTTTGAGTCTGTCCCATAAACTTTCTTCGAGGAACTTGATTGTTTCGCTCAATCCAGCTCAAAAAGGCAGCCATTTGAAAAGTTAGGTCATTTTTAAAGTTAAAAGTTTTGAAGCAACATGAATTAAATTGAATCTAAATTTAGAGTAAAAACTAAGCTGATGTTTAGAGTGAGGATTACATTTAATCCCTCTAAACTTCAAGCTTGTTTTTAAGTTTGGTGTAAATTGATTGAAAGTTAAACCGTGATTTTAATTGGATTTAAAAAAGAATCCCTGTTGGTGCAACCCAGGCTAATGAAGGTCTACAGCCACGCAAGACATCATGCACAGCAAACCTTTGAGCTAAATGCTAACATCACTATGTCAACATGCTTACAATTTATGTAAACTCGTATTTAGCAGATATCATGTTTAGGATAATTTAGTTTTTTTGTATTAGCATGCAAATATCTGCTACTATAAATAGCACGAAACAAAGGTACAGTCGAGGCTGATTTTGTCCTGATGAGGGTGATATACGAGAAGGGAAGAGATCAATTATTCAAGTCATCCTGAATTGGAGACAGGAATGTCTATATCCTAATTTCAAGGCAATCCATACAGCAGTTGTCGAGATACATTGGTGAGATGTTTCAATCTAAACCAAAGTCGTAAAAGGACCGACCAATCGACAACCAACATTGCCATTGCCACAGCCGTGCTGCAAGACAATTTCAATTCTCTTCAAGGAATATTTAAATCAAGAGTCAAAGACTGAAACTATGCACTCTTCATGTGTTACTTTGTGCTCTCTCTCTCTCTCTCTCTCTCTCTCTCTCTCTCTCTCTCTCTCT